CAGCTGCTCCTTGGAAACCCTCTACAGGGTCACTATGGGCTGGAACCCAACCTGATGGCACTTAAGAACAGCAAAGGATATAATCCACTCCCAGTTCCAGTCTATATTTCTTTATAATAATAACCTAATTAGTCTATAATTCTTTATAATAATAACCTAATTATCCAACTACTTAGATCATAACAACGGAAGCTACAGGAACCTTTAGAAGTCTACATGCAGAAGGGGGAGAAAGGCAGCATAAAGATGTAAGGGGGATAAAAATAAGAAAAACTGTATGTAGCTCTGCCTTTAGAGAAAGTAATGCTATACTAGATAATGCTGGACGTTGAAGTCGTAATATAACCTCCAGCATTTCTCCTACCTGTAAGCCTCTTTTGATAAGTCATTTAATCTTAGATTTTCATTTTGTTCATCTGTAAAAGGGAATGCAATATAGTAGACTACCAAGGGTTTGCGCTACGAAGATCAGATGCATTTAAAATTAAGTAAAAACATTTTGCAAGCAAACGTACTTACTATAATAAAATACTATGCAAATAAGCTTCACATAAATTATTTTTCACAGTGACCCTGCAAACATAATTATGTTTTCCTCTCTTCAGAGACTGTGAAACCAAGTGTCTTAATTATTTAGTGCTGTTATACCAGAAATACCTTAAGTGGATGGCTTTAACAAACCTATTCTCTCACAATGTAAGAGGCTAGCAGTCCATATTCAGAATGCCACCTCTAGGGAGATGTCCTTGTCCCCTTTCAGCAAATGTAGGCCCAGCATTCCTTGGCGATCTGTCTCGGCATTATCATTTCCTTAGATTTAGGAGCCTCACAGTGCAGGTGCGCCAAACCCAAAGGATTCAATACACTCCTGGCTCTTCTTTCTTGGTGTAGTAGGTCCCTCCTTCTCTGCTCATTTCTCTCTCCTTTTATTTTATTTTTTTAACTTTTAATTGTGAATTGAGCGAAGATTTGAAGAACTGATCATTCAGAGAAGTTTTACATTCAACAACAAATCAAATACTTTAGTTCATTACATGATTGTAATCCTATCCATGTCCCAACAGCTAACAGTATTTACCTCTATTCACTTTTAACATTGCATTCATTCCTGTGTCTTCTTCCTTTGCTAAACTGCCTCTTGTATATTGCCTGCCTTGTCACTGATGTTACTGTGTGCCTACCCCTCTTGTTGCTGTTAGATGCCATCGAGTCAGTACCGACTCATAGTGACCTTATGACACAGCAGAACGAAACATTGCCCGATCCTGGGCCAACCTCACTATTGTTGCCATACTTGAGTCAATCAATGCTGCCACTTGGTCAATCCATCTCGCTGGTGGTCTTCCTCTTTTTCTCTGACCCTCCACCTTACCAAAAATGATATCCTTCTCCAGTGACTGGTCCCTCTTGATAATATGTCTTAAGTATGGACTGCTAACCTAAGGGTGAGCAGTTCGAAACTACCTGCAGTTCCACGAGAGAAAGATGAGGCTTTCTGCTCCCGTAAAGAATTACAGCCTCAGAAACCCTATGCAGGGTCGCTATGGGACGGAATCAACTCGACAGCACTTAACAACAACAACAACATTAGAGACAAAGTTTGGCCATCCTGGCCCCCAAGTAGCATTCTGGCTCCACTTCTTCCAACACAGATTGGTTGGTTCTTTTGGCAGCCCATGGCACTTTCAATATTCTCCTCCAACACCATAACTCAAAAGCATCAATTCATCTATGGTCTTCCTTATTCACTGTCCAGCTTTTGCATGCATATGAGGTTATTGAAAATACCATGGCTTGGGTCAGGCACACCTTAAGTCTTCAAGCTGACATCTTTGCTCTTCTACACTTTAAAAAAGGTCTTGTGCAGCAGATTTGTGTAATATGTCATTTGATTTCTTGACTGCTGCTTCTGTGAGTGTTGATAGTTGATCCAAGAAGAATGAAGTCCTTGACAACTTCAATCTTCTATCCATTGTTAAGAATGTTGTTTATTGGTCCAATGGTGAGGATTTTTGTTTTCTTTACATTAAGACGCAATCCATACCTGAAGGCTGTGCTCTTTGATCTTTTCAGTAAGTATTTTAAGTCCTCTTCACTTTCGGCAAACAAGGTTGTATCATCTGCATATCTCAGGTTAATGAGCATTCCTCCAATCCTGATGCCATGTTTTTTGTCATATAACCAACCCACCTTCTTGGATTATTTGGTCACAGCATACAGGTTGAATAAGTATGGTCAAAGTGTGGTGAAAAATGGAGGTATCGCAGGGAAAAAGAAAAGAAATAAATGAAAGGAAACCCCTTAAGAATAACTGAAAAAGAGAAGACGGACAGATAAGTGTCTGTCAGGACCATAGGGCAACTGGGGACAAGGTGATTGGTTTAACGCTGGTCTGGTGTCACTGTGGGTTTTTTAGGTCTGGAAACAAGCCTGCCTGAATCCAGGCACGAAACAGTGCACAGAACCCACACAGCTAGACCCTGACTCACACTGGCGTTGCTCTCAACACCTTGTCTTGTAACTCCTGGAGAGCAGGATCTAAGCTCTGAGTGGATGAGAGTGAAATAAAGGTGACCACACCTCAGGTCACTAGGGGCGCATGGGGAAAAAGAAGAAATTATGTATTCCCTGTGTTCTCTTATGTGAATCTGCTCTGCTAGGCCACCTTCTTCTGCCAAAGCCACTCCCCAAAGCTGGTCACGCTGCGTTTGGCCAGCCATTCACCAGTGATACTCCCTGTCTCTACTCATCTTCTCTTCCCAGCAATCAAACTTTCCTTTGATGTCCAGGGTTCCAAGATTTTCATCTGTATCTGCTTCATTTGGTCTGTTCATATCTTTGCTATAGGAGGTCTGTGTAGTATGTCTGCTTAGTCTGCTATCTTGCCGGAAGGTCACCCCTTTTTTATCTCTTGCAAAATAAAAGATAGGTAACACCCCCAGAAGGAAACTCCTTTCAATTGATTGGCTTCTTACATTATAGAGATGACTAGATTAAATTAGATCGCATCATGTGAGGTATTACCACATTTTAACTGTGAAATCACTAAGAAACCTGTCTTACTCAAGTTGAAACAAAACCTTAAAAACCACAGACTACCTGTGTCAACTTGGCAATGGTACCCATCATAGATCACACATAATCTCTAAATAGAGACAATTACAAATTTATACTTGTACTTCACATGGTAACACAGGTACAGCCAAAAATGAACTAACTCCATTATCCTAAAATTATTCCAAACCCAAATTCCTTTTTGCCAACTTTTGGCAAAATTCTATTTTATCTGTAAATCTAAAATACAAGTTACCTACTTCCAAATACAATGGTGGTACAGGCACAACATCTATTCATTACCAACGGCAGTAAATGTATGGAAAGAAGGAATAATATGCACCAAGTAAGTTTAAAATCTCCAACAGTAGCTCTCAAGGTTTGAGAATACTACTCTGTAATCAAAATCATCTCAGCAATGACCCTGTCCTTCAGACTCTGGATTCTGGGTATCGGCCCCTCAACCCTGGCTGTCAGCTATGCCTTCCAGGCCCACTGGAATGGCAATTCTGGTCTCTTGGCCGTGGGAAGCCCTGCTGTCATAGTTCATCTGAATGTGACTCAAATCCACTCAGCCTTGGCAGCTTCCATTCTCTGTCTCCTTAGCTACAGAGCTCCATATCCTGGAACCGAGTTGGTAAAAACCCAACTTTTTTTAAAACTTAGCAAACTGTGGTCCCATCATGGTTCTACCCTTTTGAGATTAAGACGGCTCTGCTTGCCATGTCCCCTTATCTCTTCTGCTTCCTTGTTTCTAAAAGAGGCCAGCCTGGTTTTTGCTCTGCTCCAGAAATTGTTACAAAGCAATTTAGTTCTACTGATAAGTACACAAAGGCACCCAACTCCATTAGTAAAAAGCCTTGGCCAGAAAGCTATCAGCTTTCTTGCTCTGTGGGTCAAGCTCTCGTGCTGTCATTTGTCTCCTGGTTCTGCTGCTGCAGTTTCTCTGACACAGCTACTCACTCTCTATACCATCTCCAGTGTTAGAGCTGTCCTCACTCACTTCCTTTTCAAGACTTCACGAGAATTTCCTTTAACATCCACAATTTCACCGAGTCTCTTCTAGTGAATGTAGTTTTTTACCATTAGGCAGAGCTTAGCACTCTTCCAGCTTATTATCCTATTTCAAAACCACTTCCACGTTACAGGTTATCTGTTAGACCAGCATCCCATTCCTGCTACCAAATTCTCTACAATTATCAAGTGCTGCTTTAACAGAAATCAAAGTGGAAGGCTTTTTAACAAACAAGATAAGCAAGTCAATCCCACCAGCTGCTCCGTGGAAGTTCTATACAGGGTCACTATGAGTCAGAACCAACTCATGTACTTAACAACATGTTATATTCAGATCCCTGTGAATCTGTTTCTGTTGTCTGCTGGTTTTTCCCATTTTTACAATCCCATTATTTGTTGCCTAAATTTTGGATAGAATGTTAAACGCTTAAAGAAGTTAAATGGGATTTCTTTTGAGGATGATACATATGTTCTAAAATTTGATAGTAGTCACCATTGATCAACTGTAAATATATTTAAAAAAAAATTAAATAGCACATTTCAATTAGTGATTTCTATGTTATGGCAGAAAACTTAAATACTGCCAGAAAACAAAAAACATAATTCCAATTTTCAAAGTAAAAGTTCCAAGTAAAAATTATGACAAAATAATTTACGCTAATACATTTCAGTGCTATACCACTTACATGTCTTGCTGAGCTTGAAGATTCATTTCCAGAAAATGACTCAAGCCGTTCAAGATTTCTTCTCCCATAATTTGGATATTTACGCCTACATGTTCTCTGCCTAGACTGTGATGTAAAAACCAGCGAATCACACTGAAAACACAGAAATGTGCAAATTAAAATCAACTTTTAAGTCCAGTATTCAAAAAAATGGGTATTATATCAAGTTCTCAAGGGTTTAAGGCAAAATAAAGGGATAAAGAAAACATTCATGAATGAGTGTTTTTGCCATATACTATTATGTCATAGTTAACGTACCTTTACTTTAAAGGTACTTGGAAAGTATGAGAAAAAAAATCACATGAGATTATTTTCCCAATTACGTTCTAAGTTTGGCATGAAAGAAGGTAAATAACAACAACAACAAAATGTTACTTTAAAAGTAAATTATACAGCCAACAGAATCTACCAGCACATCAAAATATAATGCATCATGATCAAGTGAGATTTACATCAGGGATGCATGGATGGTTCAAAATTAGAAAAACGATCAACATAAGCCACCATACAAATAAGAAAAAGAAAACATGATCTTATCAACTGATGCAGAAAAGGCATTTGACAAAATCCAACATCCATTCCTGATAAATACACTCAACAAAATAGGAATTGAAGGGAAATTCCTCAACATAATTAAGAGCATATATACAAAACCACCAGCCTACATTATTCTCAATGGAGAGAAACTGAAAGCCTTCCCTCTGCGAACAGGAACCAGACAAGGATGTCCTTTGTCACCACTCTTATTCAATATTGTGCTGTAAGTCTTAGCAAGAGCTATACGGCAAGACAGGGAAATTAAAAGCATCCAAATTGGCAAAGAGGAAGTAAAACTCTCCTTATTTGCAGACGATATGATCCTATACATAGAAAATCCCTAAGGCTCAGTAAAAAAGCTACTAGACCTCATTGGAAGATTCAGCAAAGTGGCAGGATATAAGATCAACATACAAAAATCTGCTAGATTCCTCTATACCAAAAATGACAGCGCTGAAAAGGACATTAGGAAAGCAATACCATTTACAATAGTCACCCAAAGGATGAAATATCTAGGAATAAATGTAACCAGAGAAACAAAAGATTATACAAAGAAAGCTGCAAAACACTACTACAAGAAACCAAAAGAGACCTACAAAAATGGAAGAAATATACCATGCTCCTAGATAGGAAGACTGAACATACAGAAAATGTCAACACTGCCCAAAGCAATATACACACATAATGCAATCCCAATCCAGATTCCAAAGATAATCTTCAAAGAGATGGAAAAATAGTTACAAACTTTATATGGAAAGCAAAGAGACCCAGGATAACCAAAGCACTGCTTAAGAAGAAGAGTAAGGATGGAAACCTCTCACGCCTCGACATCGAGTTTTATCACACAGCTACGGTGGTCAAAACAGCTTGGTACTGGTACAATGACAGGTATATTTATCAATGGAAAAGAATCAAGAATCCAGAAATTAACCCAAAGTACCTAAATATATAGCATGCGAAGGGGATAGCCTCTTCAACAGACAGTGCTAGCAGAAGTGGAAAGCGATATGCAAAAGATTGAAACAAGACTGTTTCTAACACCCTATACAAAAATCAACTCAGCATGGATTAAAGGCCTAAATGTGAATCCCAGAATTACGAAGGTCATCAATGAAAAATTAGGGACAAATGTGAGGACTCTAATTCAGAGACTACACAGACTACAAAACACAAGTAGACAAAATAGATGATTGGGACATACTAAAAATTAAAAACTTATGTGCATCAAAAGACTTCACCAGAAGAGTAAAAAGAGAACCCTCAGAATGGGGAAAAATCTTTTGCAACGAAACATCGGGCAAGGGACTCATTTCTAAAATACACAGGAAACTACAACACCTCTACAAGAAAAAGACAAATAACCCAATTAAAAAACAGGCACAGGACATGAACAGATACATCAAGGAGGAGATCCAGGCAGCCAACAAAAATATGAAGAAATGTTCATGATCACTAGCCATTGTTACTGTTGTTAGGTGCCGAGCTGGTATGGACTCATAGCAACCTTATGGTCCCTCCTGATAATATGTCCATAGTATATGAGACGAAGTTTGGCCATCTTGGCCTCTAAGGAGCACTCTGGCTGCACTTCTTCCAATACGGCAACCCATGGCACTTTCAATATTCTCCTCCAACACCATAACTGAAAAGCATCAATTCTTCTACAGACTACCTTATTCACTGTCCAGATTTTGCATGCATATGAGGTTATTGAAAATACCATGGCTTGGGTCAAGCACACCTTAGTCCTCAAGTTGACATCTTTGCTCTTTAACTCTTTAAAAAGGTCTTGTGCAGCAGATTTGCCTAATACAATATGTCCTTTGATTTCTTGACTGCTGCGTCCAGGTTTGCATGGGCTAAGTGGGACAGGGGTAAACAATGATATATGTACAACCTTGGAACAACGGCAGTCCAACTGACTACTAAAAGAACAAACAAGTTGCTTGTCCAGGAGACATCAAGGCAAGCGGTCAGGTCCCCTCAGGCCAAACCACCTTCCAAGGCTGAGACTCAATGGGAATACACGAGCAGACACGGGCTCTGACTGGTGACCACACTGGTCACTGATAAGGGGATGTGAGGGAAAAACAGCAATGAATATGTGAGCTAAGCCCAACCATATTCAATACACTCCTATGAACCCAGGTGGAGGCCTGGTTGGCCAGCAATTTGTCAAAACCTGAGGGGACTCTTGTGCCCAGAATTAGTGATATAGCCACAGAGGACTAGAGTGGAGAATGAAACGTGTAGCTGATAAGGAGAGAGAGCATATGCACAAGAATACCCACACTTGCAAATAATACCCATTTGATCTGGCTTTAATGGCTGGATGATCAGAGCTCAACTAGAAGAAGAAAGAAGAGGAAAAAAAGAGTAATCTGTAGCTACAATTTGATGAACTTGACCTATACCTATGGATGCAGTAGCTCAAAAGAAGAAACAGACGTGGATAGCACTCATGTGGTGCAACAGTGAATAATTACTTATCAGGTCTGATTGTGAGGGTTGGAAATGTAAATGATTGTGAGTGTTGAAATGTAAAGGTAGACGTTTTCTAGCAAAATGAGGGGAGTGGTTGAATATGCAGTCCAGGAGCGGAGGGCCCTAGGACATCAAGGGAGAAAAGCAGAGTGTGGGACCCTACCCAGATAAACAAGTGACGCCAGAGATGTAGGCAGAGACGATGACGTGGAAAGATGGAGCGGCTTGGAAATCTAGACCCAGAGAGAGAGGGGCTGTGTGCTGACGACCAGGGGGCAGTATTAAGTGGTGTACCCTGTGGTTGGTTGATGATGCATATAGGGGATTGTAACCATGGCAATGTAATGATATACAATAGGATGAATGTAAAGCTAATGTTCTCCCATGTAAATTATCACATAATTCACAATGAAACATTTTTTTAAAAAGTGAATTATATAGCAAAGTCAATTGACATAATATAGTCCACAAAGACAATGTTCTACATCCTACTTTGGGATTAGCTACTGGGGTCTTAAAAGCTTATAATGGTGGGCAACTTAGACACTGG